AAGGAACAGATGGAGTTGTTTTAAGAGAAACTACGAGAATCAATGCAGCTGTATTTTCAGACAAAGAATAGATTTTTCTCTCCCTAAAAGAATAGAACTAAGCAGATATTCGAAGGTGTCCTTAAGGACTTTCAAAATTGTCAATTTGGCATGGAATATATTCAATCTGCAAAAGGCCTTCGATGAATGTGTGAAGACAAGAAAAAATTCTTTCCACACAACGCCTTTAAAATATTTTCGATTAATAGGTCTTGAGTCGGGAAAGAAGTCATTCAAATTGAAAGAAACGTTGCGAGGTTTCTATAAAGAGAGAGGAGAAGGAAGAGGAAATCATATTTTGAAGGCATACTATAGAAAATAGAACATTTACACAAATTCTATATAGACCGCAGAGTTTTTCTCCTGTCCGTAGGATTTCTCAGTGTCCCATATATGTCGACAAGCCTTTTAAGGGATTCTACTGGCATTTCAATTTTTTTTGTAGATCGCATTCCGTTTTTGAAGGTCTTCTGCAGACAAATGACACTTCAAAAGTGTTCTATAGACATATGACCTTTCTTAGGCCTTTAGAAGCCTCCTATACGCCGAAGAGCTCTTGAAAGTCTTCCATAAACCTCCAGTAGACAAAAAATTTTGAAAGTGTTTTATAGACCGAAAATCGTTTCAAGGTGTTATAAACTAATTCTAAAAACCGAAGTGCTTTGTTGACATTTTCTTCTGTTGATTTAAGTAATTTTAAAGCATTCCCATAGGCCAACAACCTTTTAAAGGTCTTCAATAGCGCGAGGTCCTTTTGCAGGTCTTCTAGGGAAAAATATCGTTTGAAGCTCTTCTGTTGACTGAAGAACTTTTGAAGTCCTTCTACAGACCGAAGATCCTATGAATTTCCTTTACAAACCTGCCTGCTTTTGTCGAATACCATTTTATAGTCTTCTATAGACCGAGGTCCTTTCGGAGTTTTTCTGAGGAAAAAAGACCTACTGAGAGGCTTTTAATGTCCTTCTATAGACCGAAGATATTCCATAGGCTGAAGGTCTTATATAAACAGAAGGCCGAGGTACTTTTGAAATTTCTTGGTAAAAATATCGTTTGAAGCTCTTCTGGTGACTGAAGGGCTTTGGAAGTGATTCTATGGATCGAAGACATATTGTAGGTTTTCTATATATAAACCGTTTAACGGTTTCCTTAGACATTCTGAATCTGTAGATTTTTTAATCTTTTATAGACATCTATTTGAAGGTATTATAGACCTTAGATTTTTAAGGGGTATCTAGTGTCCTAAGACTTTTTTTATATCCTTAGCCATTTCGCTACAGAGGCTATATAATTTGATACGACCAAAACGTGACTCATCGAAATAACTGTTTTAAAACCTATGTCTCTTTGGACCAAATCCGTTTCAGAACATCTCGGGGAGTCCATCAGTCCGTCTGTCTGGATGGCTGGTTCGCACGATTGCTCTCGAAGGGAGTACCCGATTTGATTAAAACTTGGTATATTGTAAACTTCGATCGAGTTCGGAGATGGGTAATGTTGGTCCAATCCTTCTGGTTTTTTAGGAAAAATTATTTTCTTTGAAAACCAGAAAGATTGGACCGACATTACTTATCTCCAAACTTTGCGAATCCCAATATTTTTGTCAGTGCTAGGTCAGGTGTGAACATGGACAATATCGGCCCACTCCATGAAGTATCTCCCCAAAAAAGAGTAATATTTTTGTATAATTATATTACTCATAAAATGGGAAATGATTCTCTTCAAATTTCACATATACCAATATTTTTACTTAGGCAAGTTCTGTGGTGAAAATGATATATACATAAGCCTACCCCTTCTGGTACCACTCCCACAAAGGCTCACAGGCTCAATTTGCAGTACTTATATCTCATAACTTGCGAAACAAGTCTGCGATTCTCTACAAACGTGGTATATCTACATATTTTTCTCAATCAAAGATCTGATACGAATATGGAACTTTTTCGCTCAATCCTTTTCGTACCTCCCCCCACCAAATGTTAAAATTATGATTAACAATTATTCTAAAAACAAAATGTTTTTAAATGTTTGCATATCCAAATATTTATCCAAAATCTTTGACATTTTTTCTTTGCTTTGAAAGGAGTTTTATGGACCTAAGATCTTCTTTTGTGACGACTGAAGTAATTTTAAAGCTCTTTGTTAGACCAAAGACATCTTGAGGGTATTCTCTTAAAATTACTTACTAAAAATTTGCTGTCTGTGTAAAAGTACTTTTTTTTCAGCTGGTCTTTAGTCAATGAAAGACCTTCAAAAAGATTTACTTGTGTAAAGGATCTGCAAGCGATCTTCTTCCTTTAGAAGAACAAAATCCCTCATTCAAAGACCTTCAAAAAATATTCGTTTTTTTTTTTTTTTTTTTTTTTTTTTTTTGAATGACCGCTATCCACAGAAGCCATCTAGAGGCGATTTTATTGTAGAATTATAGAATAGAGGGTTTCTACCTACAAAAGGTATTCTCACTATATTTTGTTAATGTAGCGCTCAACATAGTCGCCTTAAATAATTTTCACAAAACACGAAAAAAAAAAACAATATCAGTTTGGCTCGTGGCATTTCTACATTTTTATCATCAACTGTAAGCAAGTGTCTACAGCAAATAGTGGATCGAGCGGTCGGTCGTCAACAACAATGTAAATATTTTCAAAAATTAAAAAAAAGAGGCAGAAACAAAAACAAATAATAAATCTAAAATACTGATTATAAAAAATACATATCTTACTTATATTTGTGTAAAATATATGGATGTGTGAATACAAAATAACAACAAACACTAAACATTTTGACACACGCACCGGATATGACCAAAAAATATATTGAAAAAAAAACATTTCTTTCATTGCAACAAATTTATAATTATGTTGTAGTGTTGTTGTTGTTGTTTTTCATACAATGACCCAAGAAAGAACACCAAAAACTTTAAAATGCATTTAAAGCCCAAAACCGTTTAGCCACAAATAAAACAAATAAACAAATTTTGACTCATCCATTTGGGCCCTATTCACACTCCACACGCAATGGCAAGAAAACGAGACCTGCTGCCTGCAACAAGTACTTTGACTGGTGGCACTTCTTCATCGACTGCTTCGTCGATTATTTTTTGTGGGACTTCCTTTTTCGATGTGTCTCAATATCCGGTCGTTTCGATGGAAAATTCATATAAACTCTTGGTGGCTTCTTCTACCATATTTTGATTCATTTTCGAAGTTTCGAACAGAGTAGATGGGAGAGATCGTCAAGACAGGGGTAAAGGTGGCAAAGTGTTAATAAAGCAAAGTTGAAAAAGGTTGAAGGGAATGGATAAAATAGGAGTGGAAATTGCACAAGAAAATGGGGTTGAACAAGGATGCGTGATAATCAATAAATGAACGAGCTAAAGACATTACTGAAAACAAGGGAAAATTTGCAAAGAGATAAGCATTGGAAATAACCACAAAAGGGTTGATGGTAATCAATAATCTTGTGAGCTAAGCACACGGAAATTTTTTCATAATTTTGAATTTTTATGCCCTTAGTCTAATGGATGTAGGGAGAATATACTATTTGATATGGACAATGTGGGCTTTTGAACAGTCTATTATATATAGAAAGCATCCATTTGCTCAATTTCACTCGGAAACGAAACTTGCTAGCTCGAAGATTGGGAGTTTTTTTTACGAAGTCTATTCTACACTATTTTGTGGGAGCACTCCCGAGTCACTTCAGTTCGAGAAATGATTGGGGGAAGAGGGAAGGAGAGAGAAGAGATAACAAGTAAAAAGCTGTAAGTTTAGCCGGGCTGAACTTTAAATACCATCCATCATTTGGAACGAATTTGCCAATTTTCTGTTAAAATCTTAAAAATACCGGATGTAGCCGTTATATCAGGGTCTATACGACGACGTCGACCTTTTGTCATAAGCCATTACAATATTCAAATGAGAAACTTGAAAAAAAATCGGTGAATAATGTAGCTAAAATCATCAAAATACCGAATAAAGGGAAGTACCGTTATATGAGGACTATACCAAAACGTGGACCTGCACAGATAATTTTCTGTCATAGGCTGTAGTATCCATTACGAACTTTAAATATTAAATTTGAAACAATTCCAGTAAAATGTTCGATAATATCATCAAAATACCGAATATCGGGAGGTACCGTTATATGGGGGCTATACGAAGACGTGGACCTGCACAGACAATTTTCTGTCATAGGCTGTAGTATCCATTATGAACTTCAAATACTACATTTAATACAATTCCGGTGAATAATGTCGCTAAAATCATAAAAGTACCGAATATCGGGAGGTACCGTTATATGGGGGCTATACGAAGACGTGAACCTGAATAGATAATTTTCTTTCATAGGCTGTACTATCCATTACGAACTTCAAATACCATATTTGAAACATTTCCGGTGATTAATGTCGCTTAAATCACCAAAATACCCAAAACAGGGAGGTACTTTAATATGGGGGCTATATCAAAACTTTGACCTAAATAGCCCATTTTCAATAAAAAAGTCCTGCAGACATAGTATACATTTGAGTAAAATTTTATCAACCTACTTCATTTCGTTCGGAAGCTATTTTGATTTCCACAGACAGACAGGCGGAAGAACATCGCTAAATCGACATAGAATTTGTACCCTCCATACTATGGTGTAGGGTATAAAAATTACATGAGTGCACGGCAAAAGCAGAATCTACTCGATTTTGAACAAATTTTGCTCCTACTCAAAAACAAGGAAAATATGCTCATATTCGAGCGACATTGAGTTTGCTCCATTTTTTTGTGCTCCCAGGAGCGCACTCGATCAAACTCGTGTGAGTTCCAGCAAGTTTTTATTATAACTGGAACACAGATTTACATATCTCTACAAGTTTATTTATTTCAAAAACAATGTCAAATTCCGAAAACGTTTTATATGGTGTAATTAAAAACAAAATATCATAAACAAATAATTTCTCTCACTGTACTTACCACTGTGATGTTGTTGCTGCTGCTGATGTCTCAGAGTTGCTGTTAATTTATCACTGGCTGCTGTAGCTGAACCATTAGCAAGAGCTATCGCTAAGGCAGAGGAAGACGTTGACGATGTGGAAGACGATGATGACGAAGACGAAGACGACGACGATGATGATGAAGACGATAACGCTGAGGATAAGGAAGACATTGCTGATGTTGCTGCTACGGCAGCCGATGATGATGCTGATGGTGCTGCCGACGACGATGACAAGGATAACGATGAGAACGCATTAAAGTCCTGTGGTGTTAGACGTTGATTATTGCTACTGTTGCTTAATGTTGTTGTCGATGCATTTGTACAGTTAGATGTGGTGGCATCCATGGCCGTTGCCATTATTATATCCGTATTGTTAACATTATTATTACTATTATAGCCTAATTGGTCTGATCCACAGACTGATGATGTTACTGATGCTGTTGTTGTTTGATATGCATTGTTTGTATTTACACACTCGTCCATCGGTTTTTCACAATCTGAGGCAGAGAGAGGGAAAAGAAAAAATAGGTTATTTTGGATAATAATTAAAATGAAACATTTTATTTTTTATTTTTTCAAGAGGACAATGGTAAATTAGCTTTAAGAGTCATTTTGGACTAAACTTCTATTTTTTACAAGGCTAAAATGTTCAAACTCTCCATTTAGGTTGTTATTGATGCGGGAAATTTGTCAAGGTGTTGTTTTTTGCGATTCGTACTCGTAAAAAGAAAATAAAAACCTAATTTGGGTGCTAAATTTTACACTTTTGGAGAAAATATTGTACTGAAACATATTTATATTGAACTTTTAAAGCTAAAGCAATGAAATGTAAGATTTAGCATTGTCTGACGAAGCAATTTTCTTGCTAAATTGGATTGGATGATTAAATGCTGCAGTGTGTATGTATGTGTACTATACTTCTCAAAACTACTTAGTACAAATATGCACAAAAATTGTTAGACAAATTGTTAGAAATGTGACATATCGCACTATCGACTAAATATGAACCAAATATTGTACTGTTAGAATTTGCAATTCTCAAATAAATGTCAATAATGTAAAATGATATACAGGGTGAGATAAAACAAGTAAAAAAGCTGTAAGTTCGGCCGGGCCGAACTTTTAATACCCTCCACCATTTGGTACAAATTTGGCAATTTCCAAAAAATAAAACCCGTTAAAAATTCTGTTAAAATCTTAAAAATACCGAATGCTTATACGACGACGTGGGCCTGCATAGGCAACTTTTGTCATAAATTATTACAATATTTAAATGCGAAACTTGAAGAAAAATCTGTTTATAATGTAGCTAAAATCGTCAAAATACCGAATATGGGGGGTACCGTTATATGGGGGCTATACGAAGACGTGGACCTGCACAGACAATTTTCTGGCATGGGCTGAAGTATCCATTACGAACTTCACATACGAAATTTGAAACAATCCCTGTAAATAACGTCGCTAAAATCATTAAAATACCGAATATCGGGGGGTACCGTTATATGGGGGCTATATGAAGACGTGGACCTACATGGCTCATTCTTTGACTTTGGATGAAGTATCCATTACGAACTTCAAATACCAAATTTGAAACGATTCCAGTAAACAATGTCGCTAAAATCATCAAAATACCGAATATCGGGGGGTACCGTTATATGGGGGCTATATGAAGACGTGGACCTACATGGCTCTTTTTTTGATTTAGGATGTAGTATTCATTACGAACTTCAAATACAAAATTTGAAACGATTCCGGTAAACAATGTCGCTAAAATCATCAAAAAACCGAATATCGGGGGGTACCGTTATATGGGGTCTACAGGAAGACGTGGACCTGCACAGATAATTTTCTGTCTTAGGCTGTAGCATCCATTACAAACTTCAAATGCCAAATTTGAAATAATTCCGGTGAATAATGTCGCTAAAATCATCAAAATACCGAATATCGGGAGGTACCGTTATATGGGGGCTATATGATAACTTGGACCTACATGGCCCATTTACGAACTTAACCTGCCTACTGGGAAAAAATACATGTGTGCAAAATTTTAGCCTTCTATCTCAATTTGTTCGAAAGATAGCGTGATTACAACAGACAGACAGACAGACGGACAGACAGACAGACACACAGACAGACAGACACACAGACAGACAGACGGACATGGCTAAATCGTCTTAGAATTTTACGCTGATCAAGAATATATATACTTTGTTGGGTCTGACATGAATATTTCGAGGAGTTACAAACGGAATGACAAAATTAATATACCCTCCATAGTATGGTGGAGGGTATAAAAACTGCAACAAAGTCAAACTCCATAATTTTAACATTTTTTTTAAATGTTATTGAATGAAAGCAAAAAATTTCGGAAATAGCATCACATTTTAGAAAAAGTTCAATTTTGTTCGAATTGGCGAATGAAACCGTCACACGCTGCTCGAATGTTGCTCTGCGGCATTTTGGCCCATTCCCGGTGAAGCGCATGCGCATCGGCATTCTGGTATTTCTTAGTGCCAACCTTGCTTTCCAAAATACTCCAGACACAGTATTCCAACGGATTGGTATCCGGAGATTTTGGTGGCAATTGTGCGCTGGAAATGAAGCGAGGAACCTCATTTTGTAACCTTTCTTGGGTGTCGCGTGCTGAGTGAGATGGTGCTGAGTCCTGTTGGAATGTCCAAATGTTTGCGTGCCCAAGGCTTTAATACACCCTCCAAAACATTTTCACGATAATATTTGGTATTTATTTTGACGACCATCGGCTGTTATGGCGACCTACACCAACCAAAGGTGCACATTTTCAGCTGACCTCTTTGGCAAGTAAACACGATCATTTAGTTTGTTTGCAAACTTCTGGACAACAAATGTTTTCTCATCGGAGAAAACCATATTCTGCAGTTCATCACTTTGGGCCAAGCGAAGCAACTCTTTAGCTCTTTTGAATCTATGTTCTTTTCGTTGCGGTATAAGTTCTTGCATTTTTTGGAATTTTAATGGCTTTGCCCCGAGCTCTTTTTTCAATATTTGTCAGCCATTGTCAGCGTGTTTCGATCAAGTCGCTTCTTTACTTTTCGAACCATTTCCGCTTATGTTGCTGATTTCTTCCGTCAACTTCCTTGACGTCGGCCTACGCTATCATTATCACGGTAACGAGCGATGGTACGAGACACAAATGTTTAATCATATTTAAATGCTGGAATGCTCTAACGATAGCCACTTGAGGTTTTGTACGCTTGTAAACAATTTAATGAGCTGTCACTGGAATAATTTTAACAGCTGTCGGACGAGTGGCTTAGTAATGACAGCGGTCTGAAGTTGGTTGCAGTTTTTTCATCTCACTCTGTAACATTGCTACTAAGACTTCGGTAAGAGGTTTAGCTTTGATATTTTTAGCGCGGATTGAGTTGAGGTGAGATTTTTGATAAATTCCTACTTTAAGAGCACGAAAAGTGCTAAAAAGTACAACATTGTTATTAAGCGATGGGTAAGAGCCAGAATTTTTGGAAATCACTCTTCTTGTAGGGGACGAAATAAGCAAGAATTTTTGTATTTTAGGTGCCGAAAAATTGTGTGATTTTTTATTGAACGATCGATACGAGAAATAGCTTTGAAATTTTTCGTTCGCACCGTTCTTGCATACGATTTTCGAAAATTTTATTTAAAGGTACTAGAATGAACAAAATTGTACAGCATTATTGTTGAGCGATTAATAAGAGCCTTAAATTTAAATTTCTTTGGAATACAATTTGAGATATAGCGGGAGTTTTCGAAATTCATACCTAATTCGAACGAAGTGTTGTTAAAGTTGCAAAAGTGTACAACGTTGTTATTGAGCGATCAATAAGAGCAGATATTTAAACATTTTTGCGTTTGATTTTTTCTATTTCAAACGCATACTTAAATGATAAGAAAACTTCTAAACTTCTTTATGTATAAGGGCGACACTCTTTAAATCGATCAAATTGAAATTTAGAGAGGGGATTTTCTAGACTACATATTTCAAGAGTAAGATAAGCATTCAAAGTCAAACCGTGTTATTGATCGATGTATTTTATGTAAAAGTAATTACCAAATACTCAAATAGTTCCAAACACGAACGTTTAGAATTTTAGTCTAGATTTTGATCAATTGAGTTTGTTCTTACTCACTTAAAGTCATTTTTGATTTAAGTTTCAATTTCGGCTCTTGATAGCCTATTTATATTTAAAATTACACTAACTTCGAGTGGAAAATGCACTAACTTCGAGTGGAAAAAACCCCTTAAATTGTTCGAATCAAATATGGGACTTATGTCAACAAATTAGCAAAATTCGGAAAATCAAAAGGTACCACAAAATCTATGCCAAATTGTACAGGGTTGCCCATATTCGACGGACCTTTGGGCCCATTCCAATCGACGAGGCTTGTCCGCAGGCAACATTCTTTGTGTCAATTGAATTTTGTACTGGAACAAATGCAAATCAATGCGAATAATCCGTTGTAAAGTGGACCGAGCCATGCCCAACTGCTGAGAACGGCGTTTTTGGGATGTTCTTGGGGAACTCTCAACACTGGCTCGTACGGCAGCGATATTCTCGGCCGATCGCCTTGGTCTACTTTTATATGGCCTCTTCGGATTAGAAAGAGCCTTACCAGTCGAAAATTTTTCGTATAAACGCTTAATGGTGTTCTTAGAAGGCGCACTTCTCACTTTTAATGTTTTAAAAGCACGTTGAGTTTTCACAATTGACTTCTTCTGTTAAATGTAAAGTTAAACTATTTCAGAGCGCTCGCGTGGCGTGTATTGGTTCATGGTAAAAATCAGCTTGGACTGACGCTTCAAACGCGGTATGCCATTAAGCGATGTGACATATCTGTCAAAAGTTATGGCGTTGCCAGATGGGTCCGTCGAATATGGGCAACCCAAAACATGTATTGAACATTTTCATAGAGAAAAAAAATATATGTCCTCCGACAACAATGTGTCGCCAAATTAAAGAAAATTAATTGAGAAAGTGTATCTGAATTAAATATATTATGTATAGGGAGGTATCAATAGTCAATAACAAATAGTAAAGATGTACTGAAGTTTTTATATCTATAGAGTACCCGAAACGTAAATTTACAATTTATTCGATTCCTGGAGCGTTCAAAAAATAAAAGCGCACACTGTAGCCATCTTTCGATCACCAATGGTAAAGAACGCCATCTAGTTGAGATAACTGTATCTAGTTGAAAGTGAAAGTCCAACATTTTGAAGAATTAAATTTGGAAAATAAAATTTAGTACTCTTATTTTTGGGGTTACCCAAGAGTCTTAGATACATTTAAGAGCTTAAATATATTTAACGCCAAAGCAAAATATCCTGAAATTTCACGAATTTTTGAAATTCTTTTCTGATTTTTTTTATAAATTTTGGGTAAAATTTGTTTCAGGACATTTAGAGTCTATCCAGCCGACTTCGACTCTCGAAGGATATACAATGTGTTCCAAAATTTCCACATCGTAATATATGCTT